CTTTTTAGATATTTTACAGTAATATATCGTCTGATAAGAAAATGCAATGTATGTGAGGATACTTAATTCTTCAATATTGAAAGCTTCGTTCAAAATAAATTATATAATTGGACTGGCGAGGACGGAAAAATTGTGCATCGGAACTCAAAGGGCAATTGAGTAAGCAAAATAAGAGAAACTTGAGGAAATATAAGATAGCATACTCCAGTCACCGAGAGTTAATTAAGATTTACAGGAATACACGAGCAAATCTTGCCGGAAAAGCATTCATCACAATGGGAAGCCCTGGAATGTATAAAATATGTAGAGCAATACTAAAATCAAATGAATATTTAAAAAAACGACGAAGGATTTCATGCAATAGGTGTAAATTCAATTATAAGGGTAATTTAGAAAAGAAGGAGTATGAGTGTAAACAATTGAGTAAAATTGCGAATAGTATCAGTGAATTCACATAATGGCAGGTATTTTAAGAGTAAAAATGAGTTACAATAAAAAAATAATTGGGGGACAAATTCATAATGAAAAATCCTATCTTAAAAACAGTGATTCGCGCCTTATAGGGTATAGATCAAAGCCGACAGAATTTTTTCGAGTGTCAAGTGCCCATAGAAAGCCTAAACCACCTTTAAGAATTTCACACTTTATTTCCAGAGATTGTACTTATGTGCACACCGTAGCCCACGACTATAAAGTGCAATTAATTTTCGATGAGCTTTTTCCTAAATGAATATCGAATGAACGTTGAGAATGATCAGACTGATAAGAGGCTAGTTGCTTAACTCTACTGCGTCACTGAGTACCAAAGAAAATTTAGCTAATTTCACCCATTCAGAGCCCAGATAAAATATGAAAAATTGTCAATGCAGTGAATAAAGCCTATGTTGCAAAGATGGAATTCTTCCTGTCAAACTCACTTATTCAAGAATGCTTTCTTGCCTTACTAACTAATTATGATTGAGAAAATTGTGAGCGCGGACCAAAACCTAACACGTAACAAGCAAGATTAATTGAGCTAGTTCACTTGCGAAGAAATATCAGATTAATAGATGATAACGAAGCATAAGATTAAATGATAAAAGAAGACGGGAACTAGGTGGAAGGCGTGAGGTTAAACAATAAACATCGAAAATAAATTGGCCTGATCATTCTACTTTAAGTAGTGTAATAAGTATATGAATAATCACACCGCTTACCTTACACAATAAGCAAATGCATAAGTACAATTTCGAGTCTGGTTGTAAGTCAGATAGCAAACAAGCCTATTGTGTTTATTTCTTCCGTTTGGCTTTGGTACAAGTTTCATTAGCTTCGACAAGTATATCTTCCTCAATCAAGCTCAGTCTGAATTTTTCTGAAAGCAGCTCGTCTCGAGTGAGCTGGAAGTCGGAGTCAGCCCAGCGTAGGCGCAGTGCAGCCAGCACTCGGCCCATTTGGCGGCCAGGCTTGATATTCCATGTCTGGGTAAGATTCAGACCAGTAACAGGGAATCTTGGCGGCTGCCAAGAATCCCAATCTGTCCGTAGAAGTTCGGCCTGTCCAAGGTAAGCCAGGGCCTCGGCGACAACAGCTTTTTGACGGCTCGTCTCCCCAGGGCTGATTGCCACTTGACGCATCAGAAAGGTTAGCAAAAGGGATCTACACGACGCTTCCACATCCGATTTGGAGGTCGGGCTAGAGAGGGAGCTAGGGATATTGGGCTGAGTAAAAGCCGGATCTAGCCCTGAAGTGAAATGTGATTTGACAGTTGTAAAATTGTCTGTCAGAGGACGTAATTGGAGTTGAGGGCGAGAGTGAGAAGTGCTAAATGTGTCATTGGCAGGACGTGGCGCAACACTGAGCTCAGGTGACACATAGGTCTTCTTGAACGAATCATTTGAGTTGTGGAGGTTTGTATCCCCAATAGTGGTGAAACTGAGAGCTGAAGGTTGAAAACTATCACAGCCTCTAAGAGGAGATTCGGAAAAAGGACTGCTTTTTTTAAATGATGAAGAATACACAGGCACTAGTTTGTCATTCATAGTCTGAGAAGGTTTAGGTGAAACGGAGCGGTGAGTTAGAGCAGAACCTTGAGGTCTAGGCAATGAATCCGGTGGAGTTAAGGAATCTACTGATGTGGAGGGCTTGCTGCTAGGTGAAAGAAGATCGCGAAGGGAATTTCGGTGCAAAAGAATGTAGCGGATAATGGTGATATCGAAGTTTGAAAGATGAAGACGGTCGATAACGGAAGTCAACTTAATGAGGGAGTAATGAGAGAAAAAAGTGTGCTTAGATTAAAGAAGCACACTCATGGATAAAGCCAAAATCAGCATGAGACAGAACATAAATAAATAGTGTTCCAACGTCTTGCCCTCGGTTTTTAGGTTAATAATTAAAATATTTAATAAATTTGTGATGGGCAATCAAAAGATTTGCTATCCATATCTGTATTGAGCGTCATTTAAAGGGCATTTATCGGAGTCTTAGAGGAACGCACCTAGTCCGGAGTCCATTGTATGCATGATCATTTCCAAAGTCGGATCGTGGAAATGATCATGCATACAATGGACTCCGGACTAGGTGCGTTCCTCTAAGTCTTCCTACCAATATGACC